GTCTTCCTGCGTCCGTGGCACCGCAATGGCAAACCAGAAGGCCTTTCCTACATACTTCTTTACAATGTTGCCCTTCCCTCAACCCTGCTTCCTTACTCCCCATTCCGTCAGATGGGGAGCCTCATGATGGGAAATTTCTTTGTTCAATGCTTTCTAAACCACAGCAAGACCTTAAAGATGTTCCCCTCCCTAACCCTAATCTTGTCCTTTTTACTGATGGCTCCTGTTTTCTTCCCAAGTTGCTGTTGTCAAGTGCCTTGCCCATCAGATTTCCTCTGATGAGATTGCTATGGGAAACTCATTAGCTAACGCTATAGCCAAGAAGGCGGCCCTTATATCCCTGGATTCATCCTCTACTATTGCTGGTGTTTCCGAGACCTCTCCCATCCCCGCTTCTCTTGATCATTTGGTGAACGCCCAACAGGCAGCGCCTGCCTCCGAGCACCATGTATGGAACAACTCTTCCTATGCTACTGACTTAGCAAGGATATGGCATCATACGGATAGTCGCCCAGTCTGCCCTCATTCTATCTTGCCCTATCTTGTTGGTCTCCAACATGGCATGCCCATGTTGGCCAGGAGGGAGTGTCTTCTGCTACCAAAAAAGAATGGTTTGCTCCGGAGTATGTCCTTTGGCATGACAAATTTGTTCTACCTGTGTCATCTGCCAACAATACAATATTGGTCGCTCTGGCCCTACTCAACCTGGCTCCCACCCTCCACCTTGGAGTCCTTTTGTTCATATCCAGATGGATTTTATCCAAATGCCTAAGTGTTGTTCTTATGAATATGTACTGGTTCTGGTTTGTATGTATAGTGGTTGGGTTGAAGCATACCCTTGTGCACAAAATGATGCTATAACTTTTGTTAAATGGCTTCTTAAAGAATTTTTATCTCGGTTTGGCATCCCCATTTATTTAGGCCAGGGTAGGCAACCTTGGCTCTTTTATGACTCATGGACTTCAACCCAGAATTCCTGAGCCAGCATGGCTGGCTCAGGAATTCTGAGAGTTGAAGTCCATGCGTCATAAAAGAGCCAAGGTTGCCTAGCCCTGATTTAGGCAATGATAAAGGTACCCATTTTGCAAATCAGGTAATTAAGGAGGTATGCAAGGCTCTTAAAATAAATCAAAAGCTTCACTGCCCAAATCACCGTCAGGTAAGGTGGAACGCATGAAATCGACCCTCAAAAATAAATTGGCTAAATTTTGTGATGAAACCAATTTAAAATGGCCTGATTGTCTGCCTTTAGTATTGATGTCCATGTGAATGACTCCATTCAGAATAACTTTGGCTTTTCCCACATGAAATCTTGATAGGATGGCCTATGAGGATCCCTGCCCCCCCCCCCATCTTTTATACACCTGGCAGACATTCATGCCTTGGACAGTGTCATGTAAGACTATTGCTGCACCCTCATTGCTACTCTAAAAAGACTGTCATTCACAGGTCATCATTGCACTCCCCAAAGAATCTCTATACCCCTATCAATCATTGGCAATTGGTGATTGGGTGCTTGTCAAAGTATTTCAACAGAAAAATTGCCTGGCTCCTCATTGGAAAGGTCCATTACAGATCTTCCTTACCACCAATATTGCTATGTCGTGTCAAGGTCTAGCTTCCTGGGTGCATGCCTTGCACTGTAAGAAAGTACCAGCCCCAGACAAGGAAGGCGTTCCACTCAAGTCATATGATTACAATCAGGCAAAGACTGAAGCTTTGCCCAACCAGGAAGCAAGTGCTAGTAACCTCTGCTTCCCCACACCATACAAACTCCGACCAAGCAACACCACAAGTCAACACTGCTTTACCTACAATCAATGAGTAATACAAGTACAGCATCATGCAAGCTCAGAGAGGGCTACAAGTAATAGCCTGCATAAGAAAGTGCCTCATGCCTGCGGTTTGGACTGTGTTGTTATTTCTGAATACAGCACTTCATTTCTATAACATTTCATGTCCCATTATTCAACAGGCTTGGCCTGCTACAACAACTGCTCCATTCACTGAAGCTCCTTGTAACCGCTGAATGCATCACCGGAAGGAGTTTATGTTATGAAGACAAAGGGATGCCTACCCAATGCCAAGCATACCACCTGATACTTTTGTGAGCAATACCTATTTAGGGTTGATTGATACCTACTCTGCTACTCATACTACAGATAAATTGTCTAGCTGTTGGATGTGTAATTATGCCAGAGGTACAGATAAAATGGTTTCATTATTTGCTAGAGCCCTACCCCACAAATAGAAGGTTAAAGACAGCTTGTGTTTTCACCAGTCACCTTCAAGGAGCCCTCCCTAAATGCAAAGGTGCAGCCCCAATCACTTTCTCTCCCGATGTCAGAATCCAGTATCCGGATCGTGCAATCTGCCCTGGACGGGCCAGCCGCAGATTGGGTGGTGAACTTGCACAACTCCAATGCCCCAGAGCTCAACGACTTCAACCATTTCATGTCCTCCCTGAGAAGGCGATTTGAGGACCCCCTGGCTGATCACAAAGCCCGTGAAAGGAAAAAACAATGAGGGAAGACAAACGCCCGGTAGCCGAATATACACAAGAATTCCAGGCCATTGCCAGCAAACTGAACTGGCCGGAAGACATCCTCCTTAGCCATTTCAAAGACGGACTAAATTATGACCTATATGATGCTTGCCTGCCCCAAGGGGACCCACATCAAGTTGAGGAATGGTATGTCTTGGCAGAGGAAGCAGAGATCGACATATTGAAGAGGCACCGCCGAGGAAAACAATGGAGCCGCTCACTGCCTGAGTTGACACGCGAACCAGTGAAACCATCAGCTACGGCCAAGAAGCAAATGGAATGTTTCAAGTGCGGGAGAGAAGGGCATCGGGCTGTAGAATGCTGCTCAAAAGCCCCCCAGCACAACCCAGACAGATCACCGGCCAGCAAATCCGGAAAGTCTCCGGCTCAGCCAAAAGAACCTGCCATGAAAATGATAGAGGCTGTGGAATCCCCCACCTCTGCTCATCAGGGGGAAAGAACTCCAGCCTACACCGCAGGGCCGGTGGACACTTCAGATGACAGCTCGGAGGGTGAACCACTGGTAAGTGGATGCATCGCACCCATCCTCAAGACAGTGACTATATTAATTCCCCCCATTCCCGAAGCCGTGAAGGTGAAAGTCTTAATACACTCTGGCTGTACCTGCTGCCTCATTAGCCCGACGCTAGTGGGGAATCTGGGCATTCTGTCACGGAGACTGGAACAATCAATCTCATTTGGCCAGTTAGATGGGTCCATAGCAGGGGGGGGGGTGCCAGCTACCCTAGCCACTTTACCAATACACCTCTCCCTGGGCAAACATGAGGAAGACATAACATTTGTGGTGACTGCAGGCATGGAATGCCCAATGATCCTAGGGATGGAATGGTTAAAAAAAAATGGAGTCCCTGGGTGAATTGGAGGACAGCAGAAATCAAATTCCTGAAGGGGGACCCCATGGACTTAAAATCCCAAGGGGGGCTCCCAGAATCAAGAGCAGAAAAAGCATCCATGGGAGAGGAAAAGGGACTACCAGAAATACCAGAGGAATACAGATACCTTGCTGAAGTTTTCAGTGAGGAGAGGGCGGATGAGCTCCCCCCCCCACCGACCCACAGACTGTGCCATAGAATTCAAGCCTGGGGCAAAACTCCCGAAGCCCAGATTATACTCCATGAGTCTAAAGGAGAAGGAGGAAATGGAAATATTCATAAAGAAAAACCTAGAAAGGGGTTTCATTGAGCCAACCAAGTCTAAAGTGGCTGCCCTGGTCCTGTTTAGAGAAAAGAAGGATGGCTCTTTACACTTATGTGTGGATTATAGGGCCCTGAATACAATCAGTGAAAGCAACCTATACCCTCTGCCCCTCATGAAGGACATGTTGTCACACCTCTCGAAAGGGAAAATATTTTCAAAACTAGATCTAAGGGAAGCTTACTATCGCGTGAGAATTAAGGAAGGGGATGAATGGAAGACTGCATTTAACTGCCCCATGGGGTGCTACCAATTCAAAGTCTTGCCATTTGGATTACAAGGGTCCCCCGCAGTATTTATGCAATTAATCAATGACGTTCTAAGGGAGCACCTATTTAAGGGGGTCCTGGTTTACTTGGACGACATTCTAATCTTCACCGAATCAAAGGAGGAACATGTCAACCTAGTCAGAGCAGTTTTAAAGAAACTGCAAGCTGCCCACCTATATGCCAAACTCTCGAAATGCAAATTCCACCAAGGAAAGTATAGACTACCTAGGTTATCGCATATCCCCACAGGGCATTGAAATGGACCTAGAGAAGGTCAGAGCAGTATTAGAATGGGCACCACCCCGCACAAGAAAGCAACTGCAAAGTTTCCTGGGCTTCGCAAACTTTTACCGCCAATTCATGCCCTCATTTGCCCAGGTAGCCCTGCCCCTCACTAACTTACTGAAAACGAAGAGAGCATCCTCAGTAAAACCTAGCCAGCCACTAACATGGACAATGGAGTGCCAAGCAGCGTTTGAGAGATTAAAGAGACTTTTCTCTGCCAAACCAGTACTGAGGCACCCAGACATGGATAAGCCCTTCGTAATACAGGCGGATGCAAGTGATGTGGCAGTGGGGGCTGTACTATTGCAAGAAAACAATGAAGGGGTATTGCAACCCTGTGCATATACATCCAAGAAACTCATGGAAACGGAACAGCGCTGGTCCATATGGGAGAAAGAGGGATACAGAATACGTTGGTCATTACTCACGTGGCGCCAATTCCTTGAAGGCAACAAATCCCTTTCCAGGTGTGGACTGAACACAAAAATTTGGAAGCCCTGAAAACACACAGGAAGCTCAACCCCAAGCAAGCCCGCTGGTCCCAGCATTTTCACCAGTTCCAATTTATGCTCAAGCATTTGCCTAGGGGAAAGAACTTCCTGGCAGATAATGGGGGGGCTACTGGGGACCCCTTAAAATCTTGAACTGTAGGGCTTGGGCCCCAGATCCTGTGTAGAACGCCTGCAACCATTTTCTCTTAATAAAGATGCCTGTTGGAAGAAATATTCCAAGAGTTCTGTCTTCTTAAGATGCAAAGTGGGGTGGGTCCTTACACCCAATCAAATTTCTTCCTTTACTTGACACTGAAGGAGGAACTTTTTGTATTGAATCCCATGGGCTAAATGTGAATTGCATGAGTATTACAACTATGAGATATAGCACTTGTAATTTTACTATTGAACTATGTGCCATTTGGCGACAACATCCTGGCTCCACATACATTAGGCCCTGTGCCTTTGACACAGAGGCAACTGGCAAAGTGATCCTTTGCTCCCCTGAAGACGGGGATAAATATAAGTTTGACTCTTACCACAAGTATCTATTGTATCATCATATAATGTCTCAGTTACATAAACTCCAGGTTTTATATCCAAGAAAATATTCCCCCAGTGAGCAGTTTCCTTATTTACCTAATATGCCCGTTTTGAATGTCTGTTGCTGTATAGTAAACTCCTCCCTATGTACTTTTTTTTAGTTGTTACCAAATAATTGTCATGTCTGATACATTTACAGAGCCACCATACCTTAGGCCTGTCCATAAAGAAAAGAATGCCACTGTCGAAGAGCTATTTGTATTTGCTCCTTCAAAATTTGTTTTTTGTCATAAAGGCTCCTCCTGGTTTGCATTTTATTTGTGGAAAACAAGCCTATCATGCACTTCCTCCTGGTTGGAAGGGTTGATGTTATTTGGGCACAATTTTTCCAGGCCTCTTGCCCTTACTAAAACCAGAGGATCTTCATGTCCTCGCTCCAGTCCCTCACCAAAAACGTGAAATTTTGTCTAGTGGCTGGAACCGATTCTTTGTACCATAATTCTTCAATTGTGCATTAATATGCTCTGGGAACACAGTAAAAGGTTCTCTATATTACTGGAATCAGTGGCCAATACTACTGCCTCTAGCCTGAAAATGATAGGCTCAGAACTTACTGCCATACGAACCACTGTTTTGCAAAACTGATTGGCCCTTGACTACATTCTGGCAAAAGAGGATGGACTTTGTAAACTCATAGGCTTGTCTTGTTATATTTTTATCCCTGATGTCAATCAAAGTCTATTTCTCAACATTACCAAGATACGTCAAGCTGTGCATAATTATAAAATGGATCCCATTTCATCCTTTGGATCCTTTAATGATGGGGGATTTTTTGGGATGTATTTTCTAATATATTTGCATGCATAGGGGAAAAAATCTTGTTATTTTTATTATGACTTTTGTTTATCCTTCTCCTTCTTTATATAGTGGTTGTGGTCATTAAAAGGTGTTTGTCCTCTATGTCCTCTAAGACTTCCCCAATACCACTCATGACAGTTAATACCCGAACCACTACATCTATGCCTGGAATAGACTTTCGCAGTTCTTCCTTGTCAACCAGAACTAGAACCCCTTCCTTAGGATTGGTCAGAACACATACTCCCTCAGTGAGATCCTTTATGTATATAACCGTGCAGTCAACAGTCACTATATCAACAGGCGAGCCAATATACACCCCATGAGGCAATTACAAACCTTCCAGTCTGTCTAATATTTTTGTGCACTTATTTCGCTGAAATGCAATGCTTTTAATTAAAGTAGTTGTCCTCCTTGATCTTAAATGAAGGATGCTCAACTGAATTAATATTACTCCTAGGAAATTTTTTATGAGGTTGTCCATGCACAAAGATTTTGTATTGTCCTTACAGACAAGAAGTGGGGACTGTGGGAATCGAAAATATAGCCTATTAATCTATTCGGTTTGATAAGGTCTAGATAAATTACAGAAAGCCCCACAAAGAAGACATGAACCAAAGGTTTTCAGCTTGGATGGTTTCATAGTATGAAAGAACTATTTGTAATTTGCTGGGCATTTGCAATTTGCTCTTTGCAAGTATATAGTTTTATAAGTATATCTGGAATAAGAATATTAGAACCGTGGGAAAAAGGGAGCTGAAAGTAATAGATGGATGGATGTTTTAGATGTACACGGGTATGTGTGGAAACCGATGATCAGCAAGAAAGAACAAGGAACTGATTTCTTAAATGTTTCAAGAAAGTGACCATCTGTATGTGGCCATTAAGAAAAAAAGGTATAAAAGATAGAGCTCAAGACCAGCTCAGGGCCACTGGCCTATAGCTGTCCTTATTGGAGCTGCTATATCAGTGGTGGCGAACCTATGTCACGCGTGCCAGAGGAGGCACTCAGACCCCTGTCTGTGGGCACGTGTGCCATGCCCTGGAAATGGCGAGGGACTGACCCCTGCCACCCTGGCCCCGCCCACACAGTCTGCCATGACCACCGTGGCCACACCCACCCGGTACCCGGTGATAAATAAGTGGGTTTGGGGTTGTAGTTTGGGCACTGGGTCTCTAAAAGGGTCGCCACCACTATGCTATATCATTGGACCTCATTGCAATGAATTGTTAATGTAAGTGATGTTATGATGTTTGCTTATGTTCCAAATTATTGCTGAAATAAACCTCTGAATCTTAAAGTAAGAATTATTGTTTTGTGTTGCTGTCTCTTGTTTCTTTCATTGGTTTTTTCCCCACAATAGAGATTTCCAGTCATCCAGATCATGGTTGTCCCAAAGGGACAATCCAGTTGCCTCGTGAAAAAAGCACCTTTGGCACAAATGTTTTTGTATAGTACCCCTGAAATAAGAAAGTTTAGAGAGAATTAAATTATTTAGAGTATTTCAAAAGCATGCCATTGTCTGCCAGTGTTTGAAACAAAATTATAAATATTGCATAGCTTAGTATAACAAAGCAGGCTTCTGAAATGCTTGTCTCTGTTGTGACTAGAAATATTCCAAAATGTTAACAGCAGTGAAATACTAATTTCTTTTTAATGGTCCCTTTTTCTTCTTAAAGATGGCTATTCTCTTTTGTGCCAATATCAACTTAATGGTAGTTTCTGAACAATTTACATTTCAACAAATATATTCTTCAGCTCCCTTCTCCAACATGGAGCCCTTCAAACATGTGGGAGTCCAATTTCCAGGCAATAATTTGCAAATTTCCAAACTGGAGATATCTGTACCAGAGGGTCAGATGAAGGTGGAGCTGGAGAAAATAAGGAAGAGAAAGCTGCTCTTCCTCCTCTTTGCCATATCTCTGGTTGCCCAGCAAACTGTGTGGGAAGGTAGTAAATCAGTTCAAAAGAATTGTTATTTGCAGCTTCTTGACCCAGTATCTTTCTCCTTTCTAGTAATTATTAATTATTAAAATGTATACCTGCATCGTAAGACTTATTTGATGCACATGTGCAAGAATAAGAATGTAAATAAAATAAAACAATATCTATCTCAAATTAGTAACATGATCAAAATAACTGTTTAGCAAGCTCTGTGAACAAAGGATTACTGCACTATGCAATATAACGCTATGAAAATTGAGACATGTATCTCTCTCTCTGGGAAAATTGTTCTTTTAACAGTGTGCCTGAAACAGCCCTCTCCCTAATGATTGATTTACAGGTGACCTACTCCACTTTTTCTACCTCTGTGCTTTTTCTCTGTCTGTGTGTATATGTGTGTTTCTATGTTTTGTTTTTAGCAACAGTATTTGCTTCAACTGAGCACAATTCCAAAATTACAGTAGTGGTATTAATAGCAACAGACAGATAGCTATTGGAATTTCATTGAAATGAATCAACTGAAGATCTATCTAGGTGAGGAATCAATCGGGAATGACTTTTATATGAAATTACTCTTATGTATATGGACTAGCCAGATATCAACTTGTCGGGTTTAAATACAAGAGCTCAAATCAGTCCATTTCATATCAGTCATTCAAAGTAGCTCAGACATGGAAACCTTTTAGGGATACTAAAACTATTTTTATAATAGGTTTGCAGTAACAGAATCTTGCAATTCCTGCTTTCCACTTTATTTACAAAAAATGTAGGGAGGGTCAAGACTGAGACATGTTATCACATTTCTACTTTGGATTCAAATATCTTGTATCTTACCATTGTCTTAGCTCTTTCTCCTGTTCCTTGAGGTTATTCTCCCAGGCCACTACAGTTCAGTTGCCTATGAGCAACTCAGAGGTATACCACAAAGCAGTTAACTCTGCCTCTGAGGATGCCAGCCACAACTGCTTGTTAAACATGTAAAAAAAAAAAAAAAACTCCTAGATCATGGTCATTCATCCTGAAAGCTAAACAATGCTTCATTGATGCCAGTTATGGAAGCCTATACCACTATATTGCAAATAGTATCAATTTTTAATCATCAAAAATAAAAGTCAATCCTCTTAAATTTTTTTCATCGTGATTTGATAGCTACATTCAGAGGCCCTAAATATATTATTTATTATAATTTATTCTGAAATAAATCAGTAAAATACCTGTTATTTATCTACATTAAACTCTAAAAGCAAGTTTTTAAAACCATTAAAATGTAAAAAAAAAATCATTTCTTGGTTCTCAAATAGCAAAGAAGAAATTTCAGTTGCCAATAAAATACTCAGGAGGATAAGGACTGCAGCGGGCATGGCAATGTTGTAAAGCCATATCATATTTTTAAGCATATCTAGTTTTTGCTATTTTTTCCTAGATTTATGAGGCTTCTTTGATTTTGATATTTTAGACATATATTAGGGCTACGTAGCACTTTGGAACATGCAGCAATACAAAAAGAGCACCTTGTCACTCTTTAAAGCAGATTTTTCTCAGAATCACCGTGAAATAAAATCTAAATTCTAAAGCATTGCACAGCCTTTATTGCACTACTGTTTTCATAAATTTTCCCTCTGAAAAAGGTAGGAACCAATCACACTAATCTTGGCAATTCTTATTGGAAAAAGCCACCTTAAAGAGGGTCTCACGTGCTCATCTGTCAGAATCCAATTACATTAGACAGGACTTGCAAAATTAATCCACCTGGAAGGGAGACCCTTGCCGGGGGATTTTGCAAAAAATTTACCATGTCAGACAATGGAGCAAGAGAGGGGGAAAACTCCCTGGAAAGAGAGCCGCTGACCCAGTTAGAACCTTGCCAGATGTTGGGATCCGAGAGGTCAGATTCCTCAGGAGAAGAAGTGGTGGAGACACGGGACCACAAGCCTCGCTGGTCAATGGGCGTTGGAAAGAAAAGTGAGTGGGGAAAGGAATCAAGAAAGGGGACCCTGAGACGGGGGACCAAGCAACCAGAATGGAAGCAGGAGATGGAGAAATCCCTGCACGCAAGTGAAGAGGGAGGAAGCTGGGCACCGTACTCAGACTGGATCCTAGAGAAAGCTATTGACCTGATGAAGAGAACTCTCAGCTCCCTAGGAGAGGAGAATCCTGAGCCCTACGGCCGCCCCAGCTCCTGGAGCCGCAAAGGAAGAAACACCGAGGGGGACGTGGAACCTGCAACCCCGGGGACAGCTACTGATCCAGTAGCCCCCACCCCCTACCGGACCACAGATGGCAACCTGGACGGAAGACATTACCACCAACAACGGAGGCACCGATCCATTCCAAGACGTCCACCGTTGGAGGTGAAATTCAAAGGGGAGCCAACACGCTTGGGGTTTTTCCTAACCCAAGTCCTCAGCTACATGGAGGAATACGGGCAGGACATTCCCAGCGACAAAGCCCGCATCCGGATCGTGCAATCCGCCCTGGATGGACCGGCTGCAGATTGGGTGGTGAACTTGCATGACTCCAATGCCCCAGAACTCAGTAACTTCAACCGTTTCATGTCCTCTTTGAGAAGACGATTTGAAGACCTCCCTGGCTGATCGCAAAGCCCGTGAAAGGATAAAAACGATGAGGCAAGGCAAACGCCCGGTGGCTGAGTATACACAAGAATTCCGGGCCATTGCCAGCAAACTGAATTGGCCAGAAGACATCCTCCTTAGCCATTTCAAAGACGGACTAAACTATGATCTATATGACACTTGCCTGCCCCGAGGGGACCCACATCGACTTGAGGAATGGTACGTCTTGGCAGAGGAAGCAGAGATCGACATATTGAAGAGGCACCGCCGAGGAAAACAATGGAGCCGCCCTCCGCCTGAGCTGACACACCAACCGGTGAAATCATCGGATACAGCCAAGAAGCAAATGGGGTGTTTCAAGTGCGGAAGAGAAGGGCATCGAGCTGTAGAATGCCGCTCAAAGGACCCCCAGCACAACCCAGACAGATCCCCAATCAACCAACCCGGAAAGTTTTCAGCTAAGCCAAAAGAAACGGCCATGAGAATGATGGAAATTGCAGAAACCCCACCTCTGCTCACCAAGGGGAAAGAACTCCAGCCTACACCACAGGGCCGGTGGATGCCTCAGATGACAGCTCGGAGGGCGAACCCCTGGTAAGTGGATGCATCACACCCATCTTCAAAACAGTGACTATATTAATCCCCCCCATGCCCGAAGCTGTGAAGGTGAAAGCCTTAATAGACTCTGGCTGCACCCGCTGCCTCATTAGCCCAACACTAGTGGGGAATCTGGGCATCCCATCCAGGAGACTGGAACAACCAATCTCATTTGGCCAGTTAGATGGATCCATAGCAGGGGGGGTGCCAGCTACCCTAGCCACTCTACCAATACACCTCTCCCTGGGCAAACATGAAGAGGACATAACGTTTGTGGTGACCCCAGGTATGGAATGCCCAATGATTCTAGGGATGGAATGGTTGAAAAAATGGAACCCCTGGGTAAATTGGAGGACGACAGAAATCAAATTCCCGAAGGGGGTCCCTATGGACTTAAAACCCCAAGAGAGGCTACCAGAATCAAGAATAGAAAAAGCATCCATAGGAGAGGAAAAAAGATTAACAGAAATACCAGAGGAATATAGAGACCTTGCTGAAGTCTTCAGTGAGGAGAAGGCGAATGAGCTTCCCCCCCACCGACCCACAGACTGTACCATTGAATTCAAGCCTGGGGCAAAACTCCCGAAGCCCAGATTATATTCCATGAGCCCAAAGGAGAAGGAGGAAATGGAAAGATTTATAAAAAAAAAACCTAGAGAGAGGTTTCATTGAGCCAGCGAAGCCTAAAGTGGCTGCCCCGGTCCTTTTTAGAGAGAAGAAGGATGGCTCCTTACGTTTATGCATGGATTATAGGGCCCTGAATACAATCAGTGAAAGCAACCTATACCCTCTGCCCCTCATGAAAGACATGCTGTCACACCTATCGAAAGGGAAAATTTTTTCTAAACTAGACCTAAGGGAAGCTTACTATCGCGTGAGAATTAAGGAAGGGGACGAATGGAAGACTGCATTTAACTGCCCCATGGGGTGCTATCAATTCAAAGTCTTGCCATTTGGATTACAAGGGGGCCCTGCAGTCTTTATGCAATTAATCAATGACGTTCTAAGGGAGCACCTGTTTAAGGGGGTCCTTGTGTACTTGGACGACATTCTTATCTTTACTGAAACAAAAGAGGAACACGTCAACCTTGTCAGGGCGGTTTTAAAGAAGCTGCGAGCCGCCCACCTATATGCCAAACTCTCAAAATGCGAATTCCACCAGGAAAGGATAGACTACCTAGGCTATCGCATATCCCCACAGGGCATTGAAATGGACCCAGAGAAGGTCAAAGCAGTATTAGATTGGGCGCCACCCCGCACAAGAAAGCAACTACAAAGTTTCCTGGGCTTTGCAAACTTTTACCGCCAATTCATCCCCTCATTTGCCCAGATAGCCTTGCCCCTCACTAACTTACTAAAAACGAAGGGAGCATCCTCAGTAAAACCTAGCCAGCCACTAACATGGACAATGGAGTGCCAAGCAGCGTTTGAGAGACTAAAGAGAGTTTTTTCTGCCGAACCAGTACTAAGGCACCCAGACATAGACAAGCCCTTCGTAATACAGGCAGATGCAAGTGATGTGGCAGTGGGGGCTGTGCTATTACAAGAAAATGATAATGCAGTATTGCAACCCTGTGCATATACATCCAAGAAACTCACGGAAACAGAACAGCGCTGGCCCGTATGGGAGAAGGAGGCTTATGGGATACGTTGGCATTACTCACGTGGCAACAGTTCCTGGAAGGCAACAAAATCCCCTTCCAGGTGTGGACTGATCACAAAAATTTAGAAGCCCTGAAAGCTTTCAGGAAACTCAATCCCAAACAAGCCCGCTGGTCCCAGCATTTTCACCAATTCCAATTTAAGCTCAAACATTTACCAGGAAGAAAGAACTTCCTGGCAGATGCACTATCTCGCATGCCTCAATATAACAGCGCACGAACCACAGACTCTAGACTAATAATGGCAGAGTCACAACTGGCAGCACCAGTAACCACAAGAACCCAAGCCAAAATAAAACCACAACTGGACAGCCAAACTGGGATTGAATTCAGAAAAAGTTTGGAAACAGATGAATGGTTCCAGAAAAACAAAAATGTGTGCACAATGAGAGACGGGTTGCCTTGGGTAGGGGAAAAGTTATATATACCAACAACTCAAAGAGTAACTTTCATGCACCTTTGCCATGACACAAAATCAGCAGGGCATTTTGGATTTGTAAAAACTTTACATTTAATTAAACGGCAATTTTGGTGGCCATCCATGAAAAAGGACATTGAAAGTTATATAGCCAGTTGTCCAAAATGTGCCACGGCAAAGAGGTTGCAAGGGAAAGTGCCAGGACTATTGCAAACAGTGGCAAGTCCCTCAGCCCCCTGGAGAGAAATAGCCATGGATTTTATAGTGGAATTGCCAGAAAGCAATGGGAATACTGTGGTCTGGACGGTCACGGACTTGTTTTCCAAACAGGTGCACTTTATCCCTTGCCAAAAGATTCCCACTGCAAAAGCCTTAGCAAAACTTTTCATCCAACACATTTACAGATTGCATGGGGCACCCCAACGCATCATCTCTGACAGGGGGGTGCAATTTACGTCTGCATTTTGGAAGGAATTTTTATCCCTCTTAGGAACCACTCAGGGACTGACATCTAGCCACCACCCTCAAGGAAATGGATCGGCTGAAAAAATGAACTCCGTATTTAAGCAATATTTAAGATGTTTTCTTAGTTTCCAGCAGACTGAGTGGGCGGACTTACTCCCTTTTGCAGAAGTTGCCTACAATAATGCAGTCCACTCCAGCACAGGTTACACTCCTTTTCAAATAGCCACCGGTCAAAGTTTCAACCCCATGCCAGAATTAACCCCAAACGAACCAACGATCCCTTCGCTGAAAGAATGGATGGAGAAACTACAAAACACCTGGCCAATAGTCAGAAAAGCACTAGATGAAGCTAGGCAGGCATACAAAACACAAGCCGATAAAAAAAGGGTTGAGCCTACACCATTCATTATAGGAGAAATGGTGTACTCATCTACAAAATACCTAATACCAAATACCTACAGCCCTGTAAAAAACTTGGACCAAAATATATAGGTATATATATATATATATATATATATATATATAATATATATATATATACCTTTTTTCCAATTAAAAGAATCATAAATCCAGTAACAGTAGAATTAGAATTACCCAAAAATCTCAGGCAAATACACCCAATTTTTCATTGCAGCTTGCTGAAAAGAGAGCATCAGTCACCTCTACGGCCAAAAATCCCCCCCCACCACCTCCAATCATGGTGGAGGGTGAACAACACTTCGAAATAAAGGAAATCCTTGATCTAGGAGATATCATGGAGCAACTCAGTACCTAGTTGCCTGGAAACACCTCCCTCCCTCACAAAACGAGTGGGTCCATAAACGTCATGTCAGAGCCCCGAAGCTATTGAAGAAGTTTCACACAGAGTATCCTAACAAGCCTGACTAAATTTTATACTTGTGTTTTCTTTCAGGTGGATCTCTCTTATTTTTAAGAGGGGCCGGATGTCAGAATCCAATTATATTTCATCTTTAATTATCAAATATAGAAACTCCCAATTCTGCCTTCTCTGGATTCTGCCATAAGAGGGAGAGAAGGGGGAGAACAAAGGGGCTTTATGGCCCTCACTTCCTTCAGTATACTTCAAGGAGCTGAATGCTGAATGTGTGTTTATTGTAACCTCAAAGCGTTAGCACCAAAGAACCTTACCATAACAAAGAAGGGTATTTGCCTTTCATGTAGTTATCTGAAGTCTCCATCCAGACGGAAGAAAGAAAAAAGGGGGTGGAATTGTGATACCTGAAACTATCACTGGAAGGGGGGTTGATTGGGTGGGACCCTTAAAACCTTGAATGGAGGGCTTGGACCCCAAGTCCTGTCTAGCACGCCTGCAACCACTTCGTCTTAATAAAGGATTCCTGTTGGAAGAATTATTCCAAGAGTTCTGTCTTAAGATGCAAAGTGGGGTGGGTCCTTACATCATCATTAATTTCCATCAAAGCATCTTTATGTTGGCTATCTCAAAAATACTTTTTTTAATTTTCAATTGTTTATGTAGGAATAAATTAATTTTAAATGAGTCCAATTGGATTAGCTAGCCACTTACTAATGTTGACAATATTTTCCACTGTTGGTAGCTCACAGCCTATTCAGACAAATAGCTTTGTCAATTAATCTTATATGCAAAAAGCATTCATTTATAATATGGTGTATGTAAATATACTGATAATCCAAATCACCATTCACATAGAAAAAAAAAACAAGAGGCAATTCAATTCACTTTAAAATCAGATGTTATGCAATAATGATTAAGTGATGGCAAAAAGTTCAACTTCCCTCATGGCAGTGGGTATCTCAATATCTTCTTGAGGATACAGCCTTGCCAGGTGGACTCCACGGAGATGGAGTTTCATCCTCAAGAATAACCTGAAGTTTTTTTTGGTTTTTTTGCATACTTTCGTCCATCTCTTTCTTTTCCTGTTGAAAGTGAAGTAGATCATGATATTAACACAATACATAGATAAATGCTAATTAGTTTGACATTTATTTCCTACATTACCTTAGCTTCTTTTATAAAATTACAAAGTTATTGTAATTGTCATGCTATTTCTGTGCACTTATCTCTTAACTTCATCTGGTGATAGTTTTATTATGTTTAAGTACAGTGGGACTAAGTGTAGTTGAAATAAATTCAGCATTTTCGTGTAATTCTAAAAATGTCATAAGGCCTTAGTAATTTTGTTATAACTTCAAATTAAAATAATGATCTATGCAGATACTATTTTTGTTCTTATTCATTAATCTTTTCTAACACTTTCTTCCATTAAAACAAATCTCTAGTCCAAAAAAAATATCTATTTAGTGCTAATTATAAATACATAGTTTGATGGAAATTTTTATTAGCAATTGCTATTAATATTTTTTACAAAGACATATCCTTTGAGAATTAGATTTATCACAAATGTTCAATGTATAGTTAAAGAAACAATCATGGTAATCTATTAGCCTGACTTTAATAAAAGAGCTTATCTGTTAGTCTGACCAGTGACCTAATAGTTTAATTGTCTGGCTAACTCACTAATGACCTTTCAGAGAAAAGATAGTTTGGAGTTTGACCTCAAAATGTTTAAATAAATTGAGATAAAAATATGTTTGTACTGTATGTATATATGTTTGTATTTGTATGTATATGTATATATGTGCATGTGTACATATACACATACTTATAAATATGAATTCCTTCAAAACAATTCCTTGACTGAATTCATATGCTAAGAAAAAGGGATCAGGCATCGAGTATTTTCATTCTTTTAATACAGATAGTCTTTGATTTACAACAGTTCATTTAGTGACTGTTTAAAGTTACAATGGTACTGAAAAAAGTGACTTGAGACTTACGACTTGACAAAATTTGGTCATGTGATCTAAATTTGAGTGTTTGGCAACTGGCATTCACAATGGTTGCAGCATGTAGATATAATATCTAGCAATATATCAGATTTAAAAAATAAATAAATTTACCATCCACTTAATTCTCCAATTACAGAGGAGAAACATATATGTCAAACTGTAATCTTCAAAAAAGTATTAGTGCATTCTTTTTTAAAATCAAAACAAGGATAAGAAAATAAGAAATAAGGAGAGGATATAAGATAGACACTTAGGCTAAAATTAACCGGGTCTTCGAGGGGGAAATGGAAGAATACAAGCTGCAAAACAGCTGTAAGGGGAAATAGCTAGCTGAAACGACAAAATTGACTTAAAAAACAGGAAAGCCAAAGCTAAAAGAATTGAATAACAGGAAAACTAGCTGAATTGGATAACAGGAAAGGCAAAACTAAAACTGAACAACAGGAAAGAATCTATTGTTCTAAGAAGCCATAAAATACCCAAGAACTCAAAACAAGGCAACAAAGCATGCTTAAACTTCTATTGAATATGAACTGACATCTTGCATATATTATTTGCTAATTATAATAATGCACATGCAATGTATGATTTAGTACATTTGGGGAGGATAGCAGGAAATATGTAGAAGGTGGTTGGACAGAATGTAACCTCATAGTATCTCAGCCAATGGGGAACGAGAAGGGATAGGTGGCCGATGTAGGGAATGTATAAAGATGTTAATTTGAAAGAGAACCAAGCTTTGATAAGCTTCTCTTCCTGTTTGTTTTAATAAAAGAAACAAAAGACCTTCACTGTGTTTTGGCTGGTTATTGGTCAGGTGAGCTTGCCCCTGGTCACGAAGGAAAGTAGGCAGGAACACATAACAATAAGATAGTTTCAAACAGCTTGTGACCTAACTGAAACATGTTTGTATATATAGGTAGATCTTTTTCAAGGTAGTGGGGGAGAACAGGGAAAAATGCATGGACATTGTTGGTACTGCATAGAAATCACAGCTAGGAGGAGGTTAACCAAAGGAAGGTGTTGGGAAGTTCATTCAAGGGATAGCAGGCCATTTGGATATACAGTGCTTGAAACCAAGGAGATCAACAGGAGTAAAGTGGTACCTGGAAAAATATTAATGGTCTGACAAAGAATATGGCCCACCAAAGATTGTGTGTGTAAGGGAGGTTTGTTTTGCTTACAAGACAACTCTTAAATTTAGGATGGCCAGACATCCTGTTCCCAGCTCTGCACATGATATATTACTAACTGCTTGTCACATGGTGTATCTAAATTGCTTAACACTTGATATATTGCTGATTGCTAAAAACATTCCAATGTAAACGAGGAGCTATCGATTATAGATCTGTCTAGTAGTTTTTCTATGTTAGAATAAGGACCTATAGAATGTAATGTGACCTGAAAATAACCCCAGAAGGGTTATAAAAATGGTCATCAATGGACAATCGGGGTTCAGATTTCTACAGCCAGGATGGCTCTCTGAACCTGCGCGCAATAAACTTCCCTTTCCTGAAAGAGCTGATTCAAGTTTTTCAATTCTACAACATTTTCTGGTGCATTGGCCGGGAAAAGCTTGAGTGAGGCGATATTTCGCTGAGGACGGCTGGACCCTTCGGACCTGCTGGTAAGCCATCTCTGAACAATTCTCCAGGCGCCATGGGGGTGTGTTTCCTCCAGGAGACAGCTGTGGCTTCGCAGCAGAGCCGACAGTACTGAAGGCCAGTCCAAGAACCCTTTGGGAAAGAAAAGGAAGTCTGAACCAACTCCTGGCCAGGACGGGTGTAACTACAAGGCAGGCGAGTATGTGTTTAAAGTAATAGTACCTATCTCATTTGAAGATAGAAGAGGGGGCCTGATCACTCCCCTGGACTCGGGACGGCGATCCTAAAGAAGTCCGTGTTAGGTTGTGTGGGTGGTTAAGCCAGTGCATTCCCTACTAGTGACCGTTGGAACGTCCGGCGCTGTAGGTCATTGGCAGTGTGTTAGGATGGGGGGGGCGTAGTAGCGTTCCCAGCACCCCGCTGGAATGCATGGTAAAAGGATTTGATAATTATTTTAATCGTACCCAGTATAGGGTCCCTTACCCTAAAGTAACTAAGGATAGACTGAGGTATCTGTGTGAATATCAATGGCCCTTCATGGAGGTGGGGTGGCCCCCAGAGGGAACTTTTAACCTTCAAATCATTGATAACCTAACCTCCCTGATAGCAGCAAATGAAGAAAAATATCCTAACCAATTTCCGTATATTGATCAGTAGGGGGATGCGGTTGCAGGACAGGCAGAGGATTTGTTGGAGTGTCAGGCTGAGATGGTTCGTTTGTGTGTGGCTAGACCCAAAGAAAAAAAGCTTCAAGTGCGAACTAAAAGAGTGAAGGATGTGAAGATTTCAGAAACCAAGGTGTCAGATGCTAAGAAGGAGATAAGGAGGGAGGTAGAGGAGTTGATTCTCAGACCTCCTCCCTACGTTCCACCTCTCTCCCCCTCCCCCCCAGTGCCGGCTGCGGCAGCAGCCACTCTGCCGGAGGAAGGGCTGATTACCCCTGCTGTGTCTGAAGAAAGGCAGCCAGCTGTGAGACGAAAACAGAAAGGGAAGCCGTCGGCCCCTACGGAGGAAAGGGAGCTACGGGAGACAGATTTCCCTTTGGAAGTTAGGAAGGAGCTGGGTGAAGAGGATGAGATAGAAAGCGATGCAGGAACGGCTGTGGCATCTGGCATTGAGACGCGAGCGGTTGCTGCAAAGGCTAAGGCTGTAAGACCTGAATGGTAGCTCCCTTGAGACAGGTGGACCAGGCAGTGCCAGATCAGCAGGGAGCCGTACAGATTAAGTCCATGTTCCAGTATGTTCCGTTCACTACGACGGATCTTTTGAACTGGAAGGAACATTTTGGCCCTTTGACTACTAAGCCAGCTGAAATGGCAAGCTTGTTTCAGACCATTATGCGCACCCATAATCCAACGTGGCAGGATGTGCAACAGTTGTTAGATACTTTGTTGACTCCTGAGGAAAAGGAGAAGTGGAGAACTGCGGTTAGGCAGTGTTTGAAGGATAGGTTGCCGGCTGTGCGGGATATACAGCCAGAGATGGAAGCCAGGGCACCAGAAAAGGACCCTGAATGGAATGCACAAAATCCAGCACATATGACTTTGTTAAAGGAATATCAGAATCTAGTGGTGGAGGCTCTTCGCAAGGCTGGAAAGCCTCCTGTGAATATGTCAAAACCCTCTTTAGTGATGCAGGAAGCAGATGAAAGTCCGGAAAGTTTCTTGCAGAGGTTGATTGAAGCTTATGAGCTTTATACACAGGTGGATCCAAGGAGTGCAGACAATGTGCGGATGTTGAATGAGAGATTCATAGCGCAGAGTTATGATGATATAAGGAAGAAGTTGCAGAGGTTAGAAGGAGCATTAGGAAAGAACACTACAGAATTGTTGGAGGTGGCTAGGAAAGTGTTTGTTAATAGGGATAAGGTGGAAAAACAGGAAAGAAATGCTAGAATGCATAAGAAAACTGAGTTGTTGGCTGTGGCATTGCAAGGAGGGATCATGCTGAGACCTAATCAGTGTGCTAATTGTAAGGAGGAAGGGCATTGGCAAAGAGAATGTCCAAAAAGGCAGATGCGAGGTAGAGGTTGGAGAGGAAGAGGAGGAAGAGGCCATGGAGGTGTTGGCAATGGGCCCCCCATGCGCTCCCCCTTCATGGGTAGAGGGCAGAGAGGGGCTCCAGGGATTGTAAGAGATGGTCTGAGGAATGTAGGAGATGGTTTGAGGAATGGGACAAATTGGAATAGAGACAGGGAGATTGAAGGAATTGGATTGGCAGGAACTAACTGGTCGGATTGACGGGGACCTGGCTTGGAGGAAGCCCCCCCTGAGCCATTGGTTACTTTAAATATAGGGGGCAAACAGACAACGTTTTTGGTGGATACTGGAGCAGGCAGATCAGTTGTGAATAATCAAGTTGCTGAAATAGGACCCCATAAAATTCAGATTCAAGGAGTGTCAGGGGAGATTCTAGGGCGTTCGGTCTTACAGCCTGTCACGTGTGTGTTTGAGGGCTCAAAGATTCAACACGAGTTCTTATTTGTCCCCGAATGTCCGGTTTCCCTGCTAGGTAGGGACCTACTTAGCAAGCTAGGGGCCATTATTTCTTTTGATGAGGGACAACAAACACTTCAGATTAAACACCAGCCAGAGGCAATGTGGAGATTGATGGTTAACAGGACTGTGGAAGAGGAGGTTGTGGATGAGACATGGAGGGAGTTTGGAGTGCCGGGGCTGTGAGCTGAGGATAACCCCCCTGGTTTCGCAGCTCACCACCCCCCTGTGATTGTGGAAATGAAACCTTTAGCAACGCCTGTGCGTATCAGACAGAGATCTTGCTCCAAGGAGGCTATAACTGCTATATATGAGAGCATCCAAAACTATTTAAAAGCAGGCATTTTGGTGCCCATCCAATCACCTTGGAACACCCCTATTTTGCCTATTAAAAAGCCCGATGGTTCCTTTCGGCCAGCACAGGACCTAAGACTCATAAACTCCATAACTGTCATGATCCATCCTGTTGTGCCCAACCCCTACATGTTGTTGAGCTTAATTCCTCCAACTGCAAAGTGGTTTTCAGTTGTGGATTTGAAAGATGCTTTTTTCACGATTCCTATTCACAAGGCTAGCCAGCCGTTGTTTGCTTTTGAGTGGGAAAATCCAAATACTGGGCAAAAAGCACAGTATACCTGGACCAGGCTGCCACAGGGCTTTAAAAATTCACCTACCCTGTTTGGAACAGCCTTAGCAGAAGATTTACAGCATTTTGTGCCCCGACAGAGGGGTGACACGCTTCTGCAATATGTAGATGATGTGCTGGTGACAGGCAGAACTGAAGAGACATGCTGGGAGAACACAGAATCTCTTTTACACTTACTGTTGAAGTGCGGCTATAAGAACTCCAAAAAGAAGGCACAATTAGTCAGACGGAAGGTGAAATATTTGGGATATGAGATTGAGGGGGGGCATAGGGCTTTAGGCTGGGAGAGGAAACAAGCTGTGCTAGCTATTGCTGAACCCCTTAATAGGCGGCAACTGAGGGGCTTTTTAGGTCTGGCAGGGTTTTGCAGGATATGGATACCAAATTTTGCTCTATTAGCTGCACCTCTTTATTCAGCTACAAAAGGAGGTGATAGGGAACCTTTTGAATGGGAGGGAGAACAAAAGAATGCCTTTAGGGAAGTGAAACGAGCCCTCACATCAGCTCCAGCTTTAGCCTTGCCTAACTTAGAGAAGCCTTTCAATTTGTATGTTGATACCAGGAAGAATGTTGCCTTGGGGGTGTTAACTCAACAATTAGGACAGTGGCAACGCCCGGTGGCTTACTTATCTAAGCAATTAGATGGGGTTGCCCAAGGCTGGCCACATTGTCTGAAGGTTCTTGCTACTATAGCAGTCCTTTTACAGGACTGTAATAAATTGACCTTCTCATGTCCCATAAGTGTCCACACCCCTCATGCAGTTCATTCTATCTTGGATAATAAAGGGCATTTGTGGATCAGCAGTCAAAGGCTTTTTAAGTATCAGGCGATGATGATTGAAAATCCTCAAGTGAAATTAGTGGTGTCTAACCGGCTAAACCCTGCCACCCTATTGCCCACAGAAGTGGATTCAGAACACAACTGCTTGCAAGTTTTGGAAACTGTATATTCAAGCCGTCCGGATTTATCTGATATTCCTCTTCAGGATGCTACCCTAAATTGGTATACAGACAGCTCGAGTTACATGCAGGATGGGAGGAGGGTTTCTGGATATGCGATTGTGAATGATGAGGAAGTGGTGGAAAGTAGTCCGCTAGGAGCAAACTGCAGTGCTCAAGTGGCAGAATTGTGGGCATTAATTAGAGCATTGGAAAGAGCGGAAGGGGAAACTTTAAATGTCTGGACAGATAGTAAATATGCTTTTTTGACTCTGCATGCTCATGGGGCTGTGTATAAGGAAAGGGGATTCAGGGATTCTGCGGGCAAACATGTGTTGCATGGACATTTGATCAAGCGACTTCTCGATGCTGTGCAGAAACCAGCAAAAGTTTCTGTGATGCATTGCAAAGGACATCAGCAAGGGGTGGATCGGGTGGCTCAGGGGAATAGAAGAGCTGACTTGGAAGCTAAGAAGGTGGCAATGAAAACAGGACCCATTCCTGATCTGTCAATATGTGTGGCAATAGACATAGGGGACTTGCCTCCTATCATTAAACCAACATACTCTCAGCAGGAGTGTGTGAAAGCAGTGAATGATCTCAAAGCTACTATTAAGGATGGGTGGTATCTTTTGCCTGATGGACGTATTTTTGTCCCTCAATCTTCAGCATGGGCTTTATTTCAGGCAGCACATGAAACAACACACATGGGGAAAACTGGATTGGATGCTGCTATTGGGAGGGATTACTATCTACATGGGTCGGCTGGGATAGCTGCTTGAGTGGTTTCACAATGTGGCATCTGTGCTAAGGTCAATCCTCGACAAGGGCCCCTACTACCACCTGGAACCATACCTGTCTCTTACTTTCCTATGAACTCTGTCATGGTTGACTTTACAGACATGCCAAGATGTGGACTATACAAAGCTTTATTGGTATTTGTGGATAAATACACTGGCTGGCCAGAGGCTTTCCCTACAAAGACTAAACAAGCCAGGGAAGTGGCAAGATTATTGTTAAAAGAACTAATACCTCGTTTTGGTTGCCCGTCTTTTATTTCCTCTGATAATGGTCCTGAGTTTGTTCATCAAGTTAATCAAGCAGTGGCTACTGCTGTGGGATCCAAATGGCGGTTTCATTGTGCTTTTCATCCTCAGTCCGGTTCGAATTCTGAACGAATGAATCGCACACTGAAAGAGAAAATTACTAAGATCTGTGCTGAAAGTCACCTGAAATGGCCTGATGCATTGCCCTTAGCTCTCTACGCTGTGAGATGTGCTCCACGTAGACAATACAACCTATCCCCATATGAGTTGATGTTTGGGCGTCCTCCTACGCTGCTGAGAAGAAGTTTGGCTGGATGGCCTGATTTGGGCCATCAGGGGGGAGTATGGGCTCTGAAAATGGTGCAGGAACTGAATAAGCAAGTGGAAAAACTTAGGAATTATGTTGTTGAACAAACACCTCCTAAACTAATAACAAGATGTCATCCCTTTAAACCAGGGGATAGGGTGTGGGTGAAACATTGGAAACATGAACAACTGGAGGGGAGATGGAAAGGACCTTATGAAGTAATAATGGCCTCCCCTTTAGCAATAAAGATTGCAGAATCTAAATCTTGGATCCACTGGACCAGAGTTAAAGCAGCTGCAGAACCTCTGTGGACAGTGAACAGGGATCCCAAGGTTCCCACCAAACTCACTCTTAAACGTGTCTAGTATGTGTAATGAATATTTTATTGTTGTAAACCAGATATTGTATTAGCACAAGTGTATCCTGCACATATATCTACGGCTGTCTGGCTGAAATTCAACCCCCTGCTAAGCCACACCCGGAAGCTGGCTTTCTACGCACGGGAGAAGATCTACGGCTGTCTGGCTGAAATTCAACCCCCTGCTAAGCCACACCCGGAAGCTGGCTTTCTACGCACGGGAGAAGAAAGGATGAAGGGCTTCCTTCTGCTTTTATATAGTACTATTGTTGCATGTAATAATGTTTGTCTTTCTAATTTAGGCCAATGGAGCAAGCCAGAAGAAGCTCCACGCATTATTCAATCTTATGCTATAGGCACGGGCACTTGTGAAGGTCACCCCCCTATTGGATTTTCCCCAGAATGCTGGAATGGTAGCTGGCCTCATCCTTGTCAATTTCCCCAAGCATTTGACAGAATAGTTAAAGAAGCCTGTATTACAAGACCACCTGTCAATCCCGAAGCCTGTCAGTATGTTGGATATATTCTTAGGAAAGGCATATGTGTAAAGGCCCCATATAAGAAGCCTCCTCCTCCTGTTACTCTGGAGTGTGGGCCTCCCTTATTCTGGGGATGGGAGCGGGTCACCCTAGTCTCGCAGTTGAAGACGGGATGGAAGGGGACTTGCATCGTACATGTTATCCCGGTGGAATTTGGAGTAACTATCCAAAGACCCCCGAGGAAGCGCCCAGAGAGAAAGCGAAGTAAAAGGTCCCAGCAGAATAAGGATATGCCCCATCCATTGGAATCAAGGATGCAATATAATTTGTGGGTCCAATTGGCTAAACTAGCCAACACAACTGATTTTTGCCTTTCTGAAGCATATGACATGGAGAATCTGCTGTCCACATGTTTAATACCCGTATGTGTTCCTGTCACAGCAGCCAAGGAGTTCAGTCACCACGAGTTTAAAGAACATATAGGCTATGAAACAATGTACAGCTGGGGTCACATTTCCAAGTTTCTACCCACTGATGCTTTAGCTTTACATACTCCTAATGTAGCCATTCCAGAAGACTTACAATGTGCACATATCACGGGGTGTGAGCAGAATACACCTTCACCTCATTGCCTGAAAGTGAGCCAAGAAAGGCTAAATTGCACATCTTTCCAAACAATGTCTTTTGGGTATGCAAACATATGGTTACCTAAAGGGTGGTTCTTCACTTGTGGGAAAGACACTTTCAATTATATTCCTGCCAACATAAGCACATCATATTGTTGTCTAAGCAGACTGACTACCTTTCTACCAGATAGATCTCTTTTCACCTCCCCTAACACCACACGATACAAAAGAGCCGAGGTACTAACAGAGAATTGTGAGTCTTCCCGCACTCTTCTAAATGCAGCAGAATACAATGCTTTGGCTGTCTCGTTAGTGGGAGTTCCTGCACTTGCTCTGAGGGCCCATGTCAATATAAATTCTGTGGCCTGCAACTTGGCTAAAACTATAAATGCCACTTCAATAGCCTTGTCTGCCATCAATCAGGAGATGATAGAATTACGCAAGGCTATTTTGCAAAATAGGGCAGCCATCGACTATCTTTTACTTCGCCAACATATGGGATGTGAGGCCTTTGAGGGGATGTGTTGTTTTAACCTCTCAGATCAATCCCCCGTCATAAATAAACAAATCAAAGTACTCCATAAAATGGCCTCAGAGCTGCAAATAGATTCCCTGGGAAATTGGTGGAGCAGCTTATGGTCTTGGCTCCCAATAGGCCTTATTGGAAACATCATAAGAGCAGTACTCATTTTTATGGCTATTCTGATCAGCAGCTGTTGTCTCCTGCAATGTACCTTTTCAATGATGCACAACATAACACTACCTAAACGAGTGTCCCTGCTTGCAGAGAGAAAAGCTACAGCTCAGGTTATGGCTATGTGGGAATTCCAGAGACAAGAGTATAACAACATACATACATCAGACCCAAGTGTTACAGAATGAAACTTATCTGCATGGATGAGATAAGTCTCATCAGGGGGGAATAAAGTGGTACCTGGAAAAATATTAATGGTCTGACAAAGAATATGGGTAAAAAGCAGATGGCCCACCAATGATTGTGTGTGTAAGGGAGGTTTGTTTTGCTTACAAGACAACTCTTAAATTTAGGATGGCCAGACATCCTGTTCCCAGCTCTGCACATGATATATTACTAACTGCTTGTCACATGGTGTATCTAAATTGCTTAACACTTGATATATTGCTGATTGCTAAAAACATTCCAATGTAAACGAGGAGCTATCGATTATAGATCTGTCTAGTAGTTTTTCTATGTTAGAATAAGGACCTATAGAATGTAATGTGACCTGAAAATAACCCCAGAAGGGTTATAAAAATGGTCATCAATGGACAATCGGGGTTCAGATTTCTACAGCCAGGATGGCTCTCTGAACCTGCGCGCAATAAACTTCCTTTTCCTGAAAGAGCTGATTCAAGTTTTTCAATTCTACAACAGGAGGGCTTATATCAAGCCACACAGAAGAGAGGAAACCTGGACAAAGTGTACTTGCCTTGCCTACTTATTTGTAAAATTCCTCTGGAGTTTGCTGGAATAGGTAACACATTCTGGGTCCAATTCTCCTGAACCTTCCTGGTAGCGATTAATAAATTTTATGAAACATAAATTAGCACTCCTATTGACTGACAGATAAAATGGTTAAAGTCTGTGAAACAGGCTTCTTTTCCCAGTCAACAGGAATGCTGATTTACCACCAGCTTATCAGGCACTCAGGAGCCAAGGACTTGGCAGCACAAGGAAACAACAGTCAATGACTTAGTAGCCAGCCATTAACACCCCAATAACCAGCCATCAATATCCCTATTGACAACTAAATAGCTGCACATAACCAGGCACCACACAAATACTATGCACAGAATAGCCCAAAGCACACATTCTGATAGAGACAAGTCCCGGTGACTGACCCATATTGGATTGTGCTAACTGAAGCTTCTTTTTTGTATGCCAACATTGTAGATTTTGTCATTATCAACAATACTGTAAAACTAAGAAAGTAAAGCAGCTTCAAGTACGCAATCAGACTCTTGTAGCTTCCACACACCAGGATCCAAACATATACCTACCTCTACTTGAGAATTTCAATTAAAAAACTACCTGTATTTTATAAAACTGTTTCTTTGTATCTACTACATTCACTCGCTTGCACAACTGCTGCTATGCTACCACTGGTTCAGGCAGTGGTGACATGGTTTTGTAGGAGTGATTGTTTCTAATAATGAACAGGAGAAGAGAAAACTCTACTGACTCTATTAGCAGGGCAAGAAACCGCTAATATGGCAAATTGCACTCTGAGTCATTCTTCTCTATGGAATAAATGGACTTTCCTTTTTGTTAAGAAAACTATTAAAATTATCATAATGGGAAAAAGATAACTTAAAAACATGAACCAAAAGGTAGATACAGAGCTTCCTATTGGCAGTTACAGAAGAGGCAGTAGGAGTATTTTTTCAGATATCTTTCTCAGACCTGTTAGATTCAAAGTGCACAGCCATTTAATGTTTAGTATAATATTGCTTAAAACATAAAGAAAACCCAGTAAATATTGGGTGTTAAAGAAGCCAGGCAAGGATGACAAAATGTGTGGGATAAGGATAATTAATCATACCATTTGGTATGAGCAAAAAAATTCCATTTATTTATTCTATTGGTATGGAAGTGAATTTTTTTCTTTTGTTCAATCATGTTTGATTCGCTGAGACTACCTGGACAAGTTCCTGCAATTTTCTTAGCAAGGTTTTGCTAAGAAGTGGTTTTCCATTATGTCCTTCCTAGGACTGAGAGGAAGTAACTAGCCCAAGGTCACCTAGCTGACTTTGTATCTAAGGTGGAACTAGAACTCATGGTCTCACAGTTTCTAGCTTGATGCCTTAACCATTACACCAAATTGACTCTCATGGTAGTTATAAGAAGGATAATTTATTTCTCAGTAAGTTGGCTCTTAATAGACTTCTTAATAATACTTTCTGACAATCTACCCCAACTCCATCCCTCATGACAACAGTAATAACATTCGGATTGAACATATCTGACTATTCTTATGTTATATCTATAGCAGGATTATTTTTCTACATTATGTAAACAATATTTAATTTTAGTAGGCAGAAATCCATCACTGAAATGTCAGGCACATAGATATTTTCTAGATGCACTGTAAAAACTTAGCAAAAAATGTTATACTACCACCATCCGGTCTTTTCAGAATAAGAGTTTATGCACATTTCAATGCGTATGCATACGTGAAATTATATCTCACATTATCACAAATACAAAGACTTACCAGCCATTTTTTATATTCATCTAGAGCTCTTTTATCTTGTTCTTCTTTCTCAACCTGTTTTTCTACTTCTTTTTTCTTTTCTTGGATTTTTTCTTTTTTCTTTTGCTTCATGAATTCTTCTTTGTTCTCATTCCTAAAAGTTAAAAGAAAAAAAGTTTCATAATATAGAAGAAACATATGCATTTTCATAAAATATATAAGATGTGTAACATTCTATATATGCAAAACAAGCTTACTTAGAAGTAGCTGACATAATCAAATTTATAAAATTCAAAATTATTAATTATACCATTTTTCAACTGCAGATCTGCTATCTCTTCTCTTCTCTGCAACAAGCTCCTGCTCCTTCTTTTTTAATCTTTCAACTCTTTTCTCTTTTTGTATTTGCTGTTTTAAATATGCAGCTTTCTTTTTTTTCCATTTTTCAAAAGCCTAAAAAATGAATAATAAATCTATCAGACTAGATCCAGAAATGCTTATCTTTTGACACTTTATTGAATAAAAAGCCAATAAATAAAAAGGAAGTTTACAATTGCCATGAAATTTAAAATTAATTACAGATACTTCTCAACTTATCACCATAATGGAGCCTGCTCATTATGGTTGTAAGTTATGATGATCATTAAGCAAGACATCCACATGGTTACCTTGCTTAACGAACCCCATCCCTGTTCTCCCTGATGCAGTTGTTAAGCAACAGGTCATTATGTAGAGCATCGGATACTTCAGGGATGGGAGAGGCTCTGGGAGGTCTAGTATAGGCCCAAGCCACGTGCCCTGGCTTCCCAAGGCCTCTCCGGCCCCAAGGCACCTCATGGTCTGCTTCCTGCTCCTGAGAGTCCACACAGGTCTTGGGCCTGCTTTCCTGCCACAGTGGCCTTGGGCCTGCTTCTTACTCCACTGGGTCCCACTTTCATCACTAATTGCTCAGTTATTTTCTGTAGATCTCCAAAGCTTTTGTTAGGAAGGAAAGCAGGCTACTCCACCCCTCAGCATCCCAGCAGGCCGCATGGCATAGCCCAGTCCTCCTTTTGTAAGTTCTGTCCTCCCTCAAAAAGTGTCCTTCTTCATGTCCTCCTTTTTGATATTTGAAGACTAATCTGCAGGCTTTTTTTTCCCCTCATGGAATGCTCAGAACAGTGTTCCGGCACCTTTTTTGATGGGTTTAGGAATTGCTGCTGAGCGCGCCAAAACACCCGGCTGGCAAACTTTGCAAATGCAAGTTGTCTGTATTATTGTTGCAATGAATAAAATGTTTGTTTTATTTACAATATTTTTTTCTTCAATTTATTTGTGTCCTTCTTTTCATTGTAAAAAAGTTGGTCTCCTTAATTTTCATTGCAGCTGCTATGAAAATGACGCCTGGTTCCTGGACAGATCCATGAAGCTTAAAGATGCCAAGGAATGGAGCAGCCTGCTCTCCTTCCCTAACACAAACTTCAGAGATCTACAGAAAGTAAAGGAGAGTCACATGGGTGGGACCCAGTGGGGCAAGAAGCAGGCCCACGGCCAGTGGAATTCCAGCAAAGCAGATTAGGGAGGAGATGGGAAGTCTGCTGCAGTGTCCCTGCAATTGCTGTAAAGATGAATTTGTCTGAATTTTGCTCACATGTCCATGGGGACACTGCAGCAGCAATAAATTTGAAACCAGATTGTAGGTGGCTTTTCAGGCATCCATCATAACTTTGAATAGTTGCAAAGAGGCTGGTGATAAATCGAAGACTACCTGTACAGCACTGAAAATATAGTTCAATTAGAATTTTTTTTATGATTTTTCACCAAATTTAACATTTGCAAGACATAAACTACTACCTTTTGTGCCTCTTCTTTTTTCTTCTCATTTAGTTCAGCTTCTTTCTTTTTCTTTGCTGCTTCCAATTTTTTTTTCTCAGCCAATTTTTCTTCTTCTTTTTCTTTCATGGCCTTCCAAGCTTCAAAGGATGCAAGTGCTTCTTCTCTTTTAGCAGCTTCTTTCTATATGGAAAGTAAAGTGGCATTGTAAATGTTGTATAACATTTTTATTATGCTCATATAAACTAATAATCTTGCAGGCATGTTAAATTGCTGGTTTCATAAGATTATTTTTTACTTCCAAACACATAAATTCAACATTCTCTACATTCAACACAATAAAGCATAGGTCCCCAACTTGTGGGCCATGGCCCACTACCGGGTTGTGGGCTGTTGGCCACTGGGCTGCCTGAATGGCTGGCCAGTGCACACGTACCCCCTACTCATGCTAGCGTCGCAGTATCGCACGGGCGCTAGCAGTACTGTGAGCATCGTACAGGTGCTAGCTAGCATCACGAGTGCACTCCCCACTTGTGCTAGCATCGCGGCAGTGTGTGGATGCTATTGTCGCTGTGGGTGTACACTCCCCCCACTCGTGCTAGCATTGCAATGGTGCATAGGAACTAGTGTCGCCCGAGCATTGTGCAGGTGCTCATGGCCCCGTTGTGTCATGCATGCAATCGTGGCCCTGTTCATGTGCTTGCAGCCACCTTCACATGTATGTGCATGTAAAGGCGTCTCCACCCCCCCTGCACCGGGCCGCCAATGAAAAAAGGTTGGGGACTCCTGCAGTAGAGCACAGATGCTGCTAATTTTGACCTATTTATCTGAAATGGTAGATATTAGTACAAAAATATCTAATAAGACAATTGTGTCACTTCTAGTTTTGATGTCACAGTGATGAAGATGCAGGAAGATGGGGCTCTGTCTTTCTCATTTGGTTTCAAAGACTTTACAATATAAGTTCTGGATCTGGATAAATTTGTACATTAGAAAAAGCAAGGGGTTGTTGGTGCTCTCTGAGCTTTGTTGTTTTCTTACAGACATTTCATTACCCAAAGTAGGTAACATCAGATGAAATCTCATTTCAACCCTGAACTACAACTATTATCCTTAATTAGAAAAGCTTTAGAATACATGGAAAATATTTTATTAAATTTTTTCTTTCCCATCACCTTTAGTAAACCTACTTTTAAAAATACATAGTGACTTTTCTGTTATAAACACACTTGTTTCTAGCCAGCATTGCTTACATTCAAGGATGCTTGGGAGATCATCTATGCTTCAACCCAATACATTAGGAGGGCAGGAAGTTAGGGAAGGCTGTTATAGAACTTCTCTAGAGTAATAAACTGAATGGATAGAGATTCAGATTTTGATTTAGGAAATAAGACTTCAACTACTTCTTTAAAATGAATACATTGGATGGATGCAACACTATTTCATGAGGCAAAATGTGTTTTAGGATTAATGGAGGTACAAATTAGCACCTGTCTGCAACTCCTTAACCAAATACATCTTTTGCCAGAATTGTGCCATAGTCACTAAAGGTGTCAATGTAATTCCAGGATAAGGTCTGCTTAAGGAAAAGCAGACAGATGCTACATGAGCATTCTTGCATGTGCTGAATCACTTTTTTGCTTCTGAATCCAAACTATTGCACAATTGTCTATTTAATTCAGATTCTGTTGGAATATTCATGAGCAGGAAGAGTCATGTGGTAACTCAGTCAGCGAATGTGAAGAAAGTGCTACTGAGTCTGTGCAAAAGAGTATTGAGTTAGGAGCTGGATTTCCAGTCTCAGTTTTGTCTCTGGTCTGTCTCTGTAAGAAGTCTTCAATTAAGCTATGTTGCTGTAAAGAAGAATGTATGGTAATGTAAATATTTTGATATAAAGAAGTTATTTTGAATCAGCTAAATGCAGTCAACTGTGAGAGCTTCTGATTTATTTTTTTTACCAATAGAGAAATTAAAATTCTCTAACAGGTTATGGGCCCAGAGCTTACTAAAGACTGCATTGTAATTTAAAGCTGGAAGAAATTGTCTGTGTTTAGAAAGTATAAGAACAAGGCAGAATTAGCAGAATGGCTGCAATGGAATTTAAGGAAAGCTGTGTGCCTCGTTTGGGCCAGAAGAATTACATTATATGGGCTGCAAAAATGGAATGTTTGCTGAAGGCTAAAGAGCTGTGGTATATTGTAGAAAATCCACCACAAGTGTTTGCAGGTGCTGATCAGAAAAGTCATAGTAAAGCAATGGCTTATCTCATCTTGAATTTAGATGATGAACAATTTCTAAATGTTGCAAATTTAAAGACTGCAAAGGAGATTTGGTTGAAGTTGAGATCTGTGCACTATATATGCAATATAGTGTAATTGTCAAGAAAACTTTACAGGGCCTGTTTGCAACCAGGTGAATCTGTGGAACAGCATTTAAATAAAATGCAAAGTTTATTTTGGGACTTAGAACAATGTGGGATTAAATTCCCTGAGTCCCAGAAGGTTTTATTGGTGTTGAACAGTTTAGATAAAACTTGGGACACAGTTTCTATGATATTTGAGTGTAAAGAAGAGCAAGACTTAAATTTTGAGGCTTTAAAGGCATGTTTGCTTAATGAACAAGAAAAGCGCCATTTCAGAAGCAGCCATGAGGAGGAGAAATTCCTGAGGAGGGGGTCCAGACTGCAAGTCTCCAGAGAAGAAGAAACAAGCAGATCGGAACTGGACAAAGTTGCAACAAAAGAAACATTTTGCAGGCAGAGAGCTAAGCAAGAAAAGAATTGCTACATTTGTGGAGCAAAGACACATTTGCAAAGGAACTGTTTGCAAAGGAACTGTTTGCAGCAAAGGACATTTGTGCAACCAAAAAGGACTGCTTTGCAAAAGGAACATTTTGGTGTTGCAAAAGTTGCTATAGCAACAACAGAGACAAGTGGCTAATAGATAGTGGGGCAAGTCAAACAATTGTTAATGACTCTGAATTATTTTGCAGGTTTGTTCCAGTAGCACAAGAAGCTGTGGCTTTGGCAAATGGCCAGAAAGCAAAAGTCATCGGAAGAGGCGATGTAAAAATTCCATATTTGGAATCAAAGTTTACCAATGTGCTTTGTGTACCTGAGATGGAACATAATTTGTTAAGTGTGTCTAATTTAGACAAACAAGGTTTTGAGATCATTTTTGTAAATGGGAAGTCTCTCATCAAAAGGAATGGGAATATTTGTGCAGAAGGCATAAAGGAAGATAATCTATATGTATTGCAGGGACAAAAGGTTCAATGTTCCCATATATTTAAGAATGTTGCAGAGCATGATTCATGTGTTCATCTTCTGCATAGAAGACTTGGCCATGCAAGCTTTAAAGTTTTGCAGCAAATGCAAGATTTTGCAGAAGGGCTAAATTTGAAGGGATGCAAAACATATTTAGACTGTGCAGTATGCAAAGCATCAAAGTCAAAGGCATTCCCAGTTAGTAAATGTAGCACAAGACAAACAAAAAGAGTTCTAGAGCTGGTCCATGCAGATCTGGTGGGAACTATGCAAGCCAGTTTGGGAGGAGCGAAATATGCACTGGTAATTGTTGATGATTATAGCAGGTATTCGTTTTGCTACTTGCTTAGAGATAAGACAGAGGTGCTACAACAATTCAAACAGTGGGTAAGTTTTGTAGAGAGAAGGTACAGACAACAAGTGTGTCAGTTGCAAACTGACAGAGGTACTGAATTTATGTCAACTAAATTCCAACAATGGTTGGGGCAGTTGGGGATAAGACACAGACGTACAAATCCTTACACAGCAGCAGAGAACGGTGTAGCTGAAAGAAGGAATGGTGTTTTGCAAACAATGAAAGATTCATTATTAGAGGATTCTGGTATGAGCAGGTCATATTGGGGAGAAGCCATATTGACTGCCAATTATATAGTTAACAGGCTGTGGAGTTCCTCCATTAATAATATTCCATATGCCATTCTATATGGGAGAAAGCCATCACTGGCACATTTGAGAATTTTTGGAAGTACTGCATGGGTACATATTCCAAAAGCAATCAGAAGAAAGGGACAGCAAAAGGCAAGAAAGCTCAGGTTTGTGGGCTATGAGCCAGGGTCAAAAGGATATCGCTTTAGCGATGGAAGTAAAAGAGTTATAATTTCAAGTTCTGCTAATTTTGCAGAACAAAATTGGGACAGAATTAATGCAAATTCTGGGTATGTCTCACTTAATGACGGTGATCTATTTAATGACAATAACTCATCTAATGATGGAAAAATTATTGAAGATGTCAATGTTCAGGGAGGAGAGGCTGAACAAGACATGAAGCCAGAAAGACTTGAGACACAGGAGCAGTTAATACCACGTAGGTCAGAGCGATGTAATAAAGGAATTCCGCCTGACAGGTATTCTGCCAGCAAGGTAAAGGTTTGCAATGTGTGGTATGAGCCAAGAAGTTATAAAGAGGTGTTGGCATTATCAAAAGCTGAACAGGAAAGATGGAAGGAGGCCATGGATAAAGAGATGAAATCCATGGGAGACCATGAAGTATTTAAATCAGTGACTTTGCCATAGGGAAAAAAAGCTGTGGGTTGTAAGTGGGTATATAAGAAAAAGGTATTGTCAAATAATGATGTACAGTACAAGGTCAGGTTAGTGGCACAAGGTTTTTCACGATTAAAGAATGTATTAAGTTAATAGGTCTGATGTCTCTTCCTGTCATGAAGGGAGGAGTGTTGGAATATTCATGAGCAGGAAGAGTCATGTGGTAACTCAGTCAGCCAATGTGAAGAAAGTGCTACTGAGTCTGTACAAAAGAGTATTGAGTTAGGAGCTGGATTTCTAGTCTCAGTTTTCTCTCTGGTCTATCTCTGTAAGAAGTCTTCAATTAAGCTATATTGCTCTAAAGAAGAATGTATGGTAATGTAAATATTTTGATATAAAGAAGTTATTTTGAATCAGCTAAATGCAGTCAACTGTGAGAGCTTCTGATTTATTTTTTTTACCAATAGAGAAATTAAAATTCTCTAACAGATTCCATTTATAATAATTAACTATTTCACAGGATGTCTGTAAGGACCCACCCCACTTTGCATCTTAAGAAGACAGAACTCTTGGAATAATTCTTTCAACAGGCATTCTTTATTAAGAGAAAATGGTTGCAGGCGTTCTAGATAGGACTTGGGGTCCAAGCTCTCCC